GCCACCTTAGGTGTATGTGGCTGGCATCTTAGCTGCTTGAGCCACAGGCGCCGAGCCAAGTCCTGCATTTCTTTCTGCATCCTGCAGCCACTGAGCCTGTCCCTGTGGTAGAACTGTTTCCTCCCCTTCACTGTCACCTCGTAGGGTAATTTCTGTTCATGATTTAAGGTCTCAGTTAACTTACTCAGGAAGCAGAGACTTGCTGCATGCCCACGAGATGCCAGGCGCCCTACTGGACACCAGGGGCAGGGCGGCTGCACAAACACACAGGTTCCTGCCTCATTCTGCTTCATGCAGCAAAGACCCCAGGTAGCAGTGCTGTCACCAAGAAAGGAGTTTCTTTCTCTTACCCAAAAAGGCTAAGTTGGCACTTAGGAATGATGACGTCCTCCTCCCACCACCCTCACCCAGGCTCCCAGGCCCCTGCCCTCACCACCCCTCCCCAGGGCACACATCCTGCTGCTACCAACATTCACCACAGGCGACCCTCTTAATATTCATGCCACTGCATGGTCTGCCCCAGGGCTGCAGGCCCTGGACACCTAGGAACTCCAGTACTTGGAAGGGAACTCTAGTTTCTTGACCCCACCCACCCACCCGGCCACAATACTGAAGACAAGCAGGTCTTTAGGGACTACATAAAGCTGCCCACAGAGGAAACGGATGGGAAGGATGTTTGCTAGTCCAAGGCAGTGAGGCTGACCCTGAGCAACAGAGAATGGAGGGAGGCACAGAAGGTGCAGTAAGGAGACACAAAGCTGGAGACCCAGAGGAGGCAGGTGAACAAAGGCTGGTTTGAAATAAAGGGCAAAGACAGTCTAACATGCTGTGGCCAGTGGGGCAGGCCCAGGAAGGGTCACCTGAGCGAGTGGAGGGGATAGGAAATCAGAGGGAGGGGACAGGAGGCAGAGTCACTTCCAGCTAGAGAGTCTGACAGCAGCTACCCTCCCACAGAGGGACAGGCAGAGTGGTGAAGCACGAGATCCACCCAGCGAACTCGGATCCAGTTGACTCTACCATCACCGCCGGAGTCTCTACTCTGAGGCTGCCCTGTGCTGAGCACTGGAGACAGCGCTGATCTCTACCCGCAGTCCCTGCCCCAGTCCCCACCATGTAAGTGATGATGCCAGAGGGCAGTGGGAGGCAGCCAAGCACAGGGTGGGAGCTGGGGAGCCAGGCAGCCCTGGGCCGGAATCCTGGCCTCGCCCACCCAGCAGCATCACCTGGCTGGTACCTTCACCTCCGAGCCTTTCCTTATCTGTATCACAAACACAATACCTGTCTCCTGGGCCAGGCATGTCGGGGTTATTATTATAGCTTGAGGGAAAGAGGCTACAGCCGGTTCTCGGGATGGGTACAAGGGGACTGCAGAATCTCCATCATGGAAGGAAGTGGCCACCCTGGGCTTACTTACCTGGCTGAGTACAAAGAAAGTACGGACATTCCAGAAACGGGCCTGTTCCTGGAGGAAGGTTTTCAGGTAGATGCCTTCAAAGGTCTTGAAGCAGCCGACTAGAGTGACAAAAGTCTCGTCCTCTTCATTGTCTGTGATGCTCTGGAGGATGGGCACCATGGGGGCCAGGCCCGTGCCTGCAGCCAGCATGAGGAGCTCACCATACTGGGGGTGGAACAGGCACGTGACAGGGGGCTGGTGGCCTCACCCACCCCCCACCCCCACTACCAAGCTTTTCTTGGGCTCATTTCAACTTGGAACAGCAGTGCCCCTCCTAGGTGTCCACCAATCTACATCCTCTCTCTACTTCCTCCAGGAAGCCATCCTTGCTTGTGAGAGGTACGTGAGATTTGGGTAACAGAGACTATGGAATCTTGGGGCTGAAAGGGAACATGTAACAGTGTAGCCCATCCTGCAGACGGTTTGGGTGCCTGTGAAAGCATCAAAGACTCTGCTTACATCTTTTTGCTGACAGGGAGCTCACTACCTCCCAAGACAGCCTGCTCTATCCTAGGCCAACACCCCTTGCTAGGGGGTCTTCACCTGCTCCCCCTAAAGCTGTGCTCACCTCAGCTCCATCCCACCCCTGCTCTGTGGGCTGCTTCCCCTGTCCCACAACAGCCCTGCAGAAATCCCAGGGTCCTCCCCTCCCTGGACTCCTGAGCCTGCTCTTCCCTAGCCTGAATGAGATAACATACGTAAGAGCCTAGCACAGCACAGGCACAAAAGAGCCATGCAAAAAAGGGGAGTTCCCACCCCAAGAGGCCTGGGGTCCGATGACTCCTCACTGAACCATTTCCCGGCTCTAGGCCTCTTAATAAGGGGCAATCTTCTTTAAGGTCAGTGGCTTAAAAGTTAGTGCCCAACCCACACAGAGAGCTGTTCACCACCCTCATTGTAGAGATTAGGCTTTGGTGTGTAAATCCCCCCAGTTGTGATCTGGGTGAGCTTTCACTCATCTGAGCCTCAGTTTCTGCACTGGTTAAAAAAAAAAAATAACAGCACTTCCCTGAGATAGTACTTGTTTCAGAATTGTCATAGGACTAAATGAGATGACACTAAGTGCCTGGTGGATAGTCGAGGCTGAATCCAAATAGGTTCCTTCCTCTTGCCAAGCCCCTGAAATGCCCCCCATCAGCTACTGCTGGCCACACCATCCTGTCCTGTACTCGCGTTCTCTCCAGGTCTTCTGCCTCACATGCTCCTCCTTTCTGCCATTTCAGCTCAGACTACCCTCCAAGAAGCCCTCCCAGGGCTGGGGGCAGGAAGAGGGCCCTTCCTTTGTGTCCTACAGTGCCCTCGGCATCCCTCTGCACAACACCAGTCACCTGTGATGTCATCTATCGGTGGGTCTGACTCCACCATGAGACTGTGAGCTTCTGGAAGACAGGGGCCTCATCAGAACCATCTCTGCGTCCCCAGAGTCCAGCATGGACCTGGCCCTGGGAAGGGGGACACAGTGTCTGTCTGTTGAATGAATGCACAGACAGTTGCTAATGTGTCAGTCCTCAGGGCGGATGTAATATCCATCTGTAATGAGCACGACAGCAGAGCCCCAGAACAGGGACGGGAAGAGGGCAGGAGTTCCCCAAGCATCCTCATGACAGCAAGGCCAGGACTTAGCCAAACTTTCAGTGTGAGACACCATTTCTCTTTTTTCCTGCCGGGCTTAAGGCCCTATAACCGCCCTAGATAAGAAACACACAGGCTTTCAAGTGTTCTGTGGATGCAGAGGAGCGGACACAAGGCATCGGAGGTTCTGCCCAGAAAAGCTGGTCAAGACAACATTCATCTGGCATCCACTTTAAGTCAGGAGGAAATGGGAACAATTCTTCTCCCCTGCTCTCAAGGGTCTGAGGGACACAGGGGCACACTCAGCTAAAACGCCAGGCTTAGTGTGGGGAGTCCTAGGAGAATATTGCGGAAGAACATTAATACCTGCACACCACAGATCTACAAAATGGGGGTTGTGGTCCCTAGAGCTGTTGTGAAGATTCAGTTACTACACAGCAAGGGCCAAGGTCAGAGCCTAACACACAGGAGGTGTCACGTGTCTGACATTATTATACATACACACACGTGTACACATGCATGTTTGCCTGTATACCCTTGTTGAAAAGTCTGGAAGGCTATACACCAAGGCAGTAAGATTGGTGTGTCTGGCTGGGCACAGAAGCTCATACCTGTAATCCCAGCACTCTGGGAGGCCGAGGCGGGTGGACTGCTTGAGCTCAGGAGTTCGAGACCACTCTGAGGAAGAGTGAAACCCCATCTCTAAAAAATAGCCAGGCATTGTAGATCCAGCTACTCGGGAGGCTGAGGCAAGAGGATGACTGGAGCCCAAGAGTTTGAGGTTGCTATGAGCTATGATGCCACAGCACTCTATCCTGGGCACAAAAGTGAGACTCTGTCCCACTCCCACAAAAAAAAAGATTGGTGTGTCGGGGTAGGTGGCCAATGGGTGTTTTTTTTCTTTTCGTGTATGTGTGTCTCTGATGATTTTTTGGGTATGAGTATGTATTGCACTTGTAATATGGAAAAAAAAAGCTATTTTTAAATTAAGCAAAAATAATGAAGAGAAAGGCATGATTCATTCCTTTTCATTTGTTTTCATTTTGCTTTGTTTCCCTAATTATAAAGGTAATAGGTGTTCATTGCAGATAATTTAGAGGGTATAACGAATAAAATAAGAATCACCTATAATTCCACCACCCAGAGCTGCTAACATTTCATTGCATTTTCTTTCCATAATTTCTCTGTGAGATTTAGTTCCCAACCTGTTATAGATTCAGTTTTGTGCCTAGTGTTTGTCACCTGATCTTACAGCCTGAGCATTTAACACCATTGATAAACGTGATTTTATAATCCAGAATGTACTGTTCAAGCACCTGTAACCCCACTGCTGTAGGACGTTCAGTTGTCTCCAACTTTCTGCTATTATAAAGAAAGATGCAATGAACATGTGCAAAAGAGCCGGCCTTTTGGATTCGTTCCATAGGCTAGACTTCCAGAAGTGGAATTACTGGGTCAGAGGATTTGAGGACTCTTAAGGCTCTTAATACATACTGCCAAATTGCTTTCCAGATATGCACCAATTGATGAGAAATTACTAATTCTTCCTGGGAAAGTCAGGAAGGGATTTGAACATGCCATGAAGAGGAAGAACCTTCCAAGCTACACAGGGGGCTCCCAGGTAGGAATCCAGGGGGGTATTTAGTCTAGAGACAGGATGTCAAACTGCAAAGGCAAGTGAGGGTCAGACGACGTAGCGGTCCTGATCACCAAGCATGTGAGTCTCACTTTCTAAGCAGTGGCAGCCTGGGATCATTCTGGGGCATGGAAAGGCAGTGTCATTTATTAGTGTCTATGCCATGTCCTTCCAAACTCACAGCCCTTCCTGGGTGTGAGCACAGGAAGAACAGCTCAGTGAGACTGTATGGCCCAAAGTGTGAAGATCATAGCCCTGGAGGGTAAGCCCTGGATCTCCCGAAGACATGGGGTACTAGCACATACCTGGTTTGGTTTATAGAAGAAATTTCCAAAAGGGCCTCGCCAGAAAGCTGTGTCTCCTGCTCTCCAGGACTCGACATATCGGGACATCAGCCCAGTCTGGTAGCACTGAAAGCAGACACAGGGAGACCCCAGTGGGTGGGCACAAGCTGCCGACACAAACCCCCGCGCCTCACACGTGCACAGCGCTCTCCCTGTCCTATCTCGTTTACCCCTCCTTATCCTACAAAGTCGGAACAATCATTCTCAATTTCCAGACAAGGCCCAGAAGCTTCCACAGAAGATAGATGGTAAGGCTGGGATGAGAACCCACAGGATGAAGGTGGCATCTGTGGCTCAAGGAGCAGGGTACTGGCCCCATAACCGGAGGTGGCAGGTTCAAACCTGGCCCCAGCCAAAAACTGCAAAAAAAAAAAAAGAACCCACAGGACCTGTAGCCTTCACTACAGAGGTCTCAAACCAGAACACCTATGGGACCCATGCAGGTACCAACAATGACACTCAGTCTCGTTGTCAGGGAGACAGTGGGGAAGTGGTGGGAACCGTGATCAATTGGTGAGTGGATGTTCCCTCTAAAGAGGGAAGCCACTTTTCAAGTTCCAGCCCAGAGTTTGTAAGGCCAGTGATGCTAGATCTACTGATTTTCTAAAAAGGGCAGGAGATTCATATTTTTCCCTTTTTTTTTTTTTAGAAATAGTGTCTTATTCTGTTGCCCAGGCTAGAGTGCAGTGCTATCATTATAACTCACTACAGCCTCAAACTCCTGGGCTTAAGTGAGCCTCCCACCTCAGCCTCCCAAGTGGCTGGGACTACAGGCATGTGCCACCATACCTGGATAATTTTTCTATTTTTTTGTAGAGATAGAAAGTCTAAGTTGCCAGGCTGGTCTTAAACTCCTAGGCTCAAGTGACCCTCTTGCCTTGGCCCCTCAGAATGCTAGGATTATAGGCATAAGCCATTATGCCTGGACAAAACATCCCATTTCTGAAGTGTTTACAAGTAATTCAAAATTTTTAAATACTGGTCACTGTGCAGGTCAACACCTACTACATTTGTAGGCCAGATTCAGTTTGCAGGTTACATATCTGCAATCTGCCTTATCCTATACCATCTCCTGGCTGGGTGTAAATATGAAGGGGATGGAAGTGATTCCTCCATGGGAGGAGGGCAGTCTAATTTCCTGGGTGCCTGCCAACTCTGCCAGGCACCATGCTGGGGCTGCAACAGAGACAACAGCTCTTAATTGCCACAAAGGCAACCAGCGTCTGAACCATGGAAAGAACTTTATAAATATTTGAATGAATGAATCAGTCAATCCAGATTCAGGCCCTCCCCTTATAGAACTAAGGGGGACTAAGTCTCAGGCAGACACTACCTGATACTCCCAGGAGGACCGTAAAGTGCTAGGAGGACCCTAAGGAGGCTAGTCACTTCCACGACATGGGGTCAAAGGTGGCTTCCTGGAGGAAGAAGCATTTGAACTAGACCTTGAAGGATGGGCAGAATTGAATTCACTGGGGATGGGAGCACGGAATGCAGAGAGGATTCTGGACATCAGGTGTGGTATGGTCAGGGTAGAACAGCCTATGTCATGTTTTGGGAAGAGCAAGTGGACATGTTGGGGTGGGAATGAGGGAAGCCCCAGGAGATGGGACTAGAAGGCTGCCTGGAGTGGAGTAAGCCAGGCTTGAAGGGGAGGCTTGACTGGCCCCACACCCATCTTTAAGTGCCCACAGCCACCTCTGACACATCTCTTACTTCCTTGGGCATCATCTGGGTAAGGCCCATCTGGAAGAGGTCTGACAGGAAGGTGTGGTTTCTCTCCTGCCTTGCTTGAGCCTGTGTCTCACACACACTTTGTTTTCTGGGCCCAGTCTTGAGGGAGCCACAACCCTAGCTGTGGCCCTGCAGGCACAGATACTACCCGAGAAGGTTGTCTCCAGCACCGACATGCAGCCTGTACAGAATCAATGTTCAACACACACTTGTGAAACAGAACTGACACTTTTATCCTTCCACTTGGGTTCACTTTACCCCGGGGGCCTTGGGACAAATGGTGTCAACTCTCTGAGCCTCAGTATCCTCATCTGTAAAGGGGGGATAATGTGATCTGCAGGGTAGTTATGAAGTTGAAACAAGGTATTAAAGAGCTGGAAGCAGTGCCTGGTGCCCCGAAGGAGCCTGAGAAATGGGAGTCCCTCCTTCCCTTCAGCATGGGAGGGTAAACCTATAAAACTCCGCCTGCCCTTCCAGTTCGCAAAGACATTTGCAGCTCTTCCTAGCCAGCAGCTTAGAGATAATTAAGCATCTCTCTAAAGAGAGGCTTTCCGGTAAACGAAGGAGAAAATCAGCCTTGCAGCTGGGAGAGATCCAGCTGCCCTGAAGAACTGTCTCCAGGCTTATCCCTTCAACAGAAATACACCAGACAAGCAGCTTGGGGAAGCAGGCCATTTGGAGAGGATTTGTGGGATCTCCCAGACAAACAGTTGCATGAAGAAGGGATCCCATCCAAGCTTATGAGGGAGGGAAGAAACACTGGGCTCTCGAAGGCAGGCAGGAAGGCAGGAGCTGCAGGCAGTGCTGGGGCCTTGGGTCCTCCTGGGGCTCAGTTTGCTTATCAGTGAAATCAAGGTAATAATTCATGTCTTATAAGGTAGATTAAAGACATGAAAGCTATGCTTAAATATTGGTACTCCCTAGGATTCCATTTGGGAAATGGTGTTCTAGAGCTACTTACTAGGTTGACCCATATGAAACTGATGTTTCTGTAAGTCAAAACATTTAAGAGTATCAGCTAGTCCATATAACTATTTTCCCCACATAATTGGACTTCCATGAACTCTCACATCTGTTGATTACGCCTTGTGTCCCCAAGGTGCTTTGTATGTGAACCACTTCATTCATCTCACCTCTGCCAGTTATTCCACCCGGGGTGCCCCACAAACGCCCTCTCCTGCCGCCACTCATGCTGGGTCCCTGAAGACCTGTTCTATTTCACCCCTCCCTGCCTTTGGGTATCTGTCCCCTCAGCCTAGAAAGCCACTCCCCATTACTGCCAATTTGTACTCCTTCTCCAAGGCCCCCTCGAATGTCCCTGCTCACCTCTCCCGGAGAGGTGGCGTCAGGCTGGGTCAGTCCACAAGGCTCTCCACATCCCACCCCTCGCCTGATTCTCTCACCATGTGCCCTGCTCCCTCGGCACTTCCCCTTCTGCTGCATGACAGATGTCTCATGTCCCCAAACCATGCCTCTTTTGCCATTGTCCGTGCCGTTCCCAGTACTCAGAGCTTCCTTCCCACATTCTCTTTCCGCCTCTCTGCTCCTTAAACGCCCAGCTTCTGCAAGGAAGTCCAGCCTAGCTTCCCTGGAGCCATAGTTGCCCTGAGTTGCTGGGCCTCCTGTGTCATGGCATCTGTCATGCCATATTGTCCTCATCTAGTCACTTGTCCCGGGTGGATTCCTTGAGGGCAGGCACTGTGCCTGACACACCTCTGGACTCCAGTGTGCAGCACACAGTAGGTGTGTGGGACTTGGCTCCCCTTCCCCTCCTAGCTTGCTGTTTACTTGTCACAGACAGGTAAGAAGGTGAGGAGGAACAGCCTCCCCTTTCCCAATCTGAGCCTCCTTTGAGTCAACTCTGTCAGGAATATGCTGGAACAGACTTCTTTTTTTTTTTGGCCAGGGCTGGATTTGAACCCGCCACCTCCAGCATATGGGGCTAGTGCTCTACTCCTTTGAGCCACAGGTGCCGCCCTGAAACAGACTTCTTTTCTCCAGGAACGAAGGGAAGGAGAGAAGGCCTCCTCCCTGTCCCTGTTCCTCCCTGGAGTCAGCCTCCTCCTGTGGACATAAGCTCTTCCTCATCAGTGGACCAAGCTGGCAAGGAAGGCACCGTCATGGTATCTGAGAGCATCTTTGAGGGTCAACTCACCTTAATTAAAACTTCAAAGTATCCTTCTGCGTTGGCCGGGCTGATGGGCGTGTAGGCTCTCTGAATTTCTAAGTTATCTACTATTCCTCTGAGAAAGAGAAGAATACAATCAGGCAGTCAAGTAGTCATTCAACAAACCCTTATTGGGTGTCTCCTCTGCCAGGCTGGTGAGGGCGGAGGTGGGGTCTGGCCATCCCCAGAGGTCCTCACTGAGGGGCAAGCAAGGTATAGCAGAAAAAAAGAGCCTTGGACTGACCCACTGCCACATGCTGGCTGTGAGGCCTGGGCAGGTCAATTCATGCGCCAGGTGCCCCTTCTGTAAAATGGGGACAGAAGACAGACATAGCCATCTGTGTCCCAGTTAGGTGGCTCCACTGGGGTCACAGATGGCAGGGGGCTTCAAAAAGTACACTAAGGGTGAGAGTTGTTTTACAGACACAACTGGTTTTTCCTGACTGCTTCTTGACGACAGAATGATAAAGATAAAAACAAGTTCTAACATTTATTAAACACTTAGCACCATGTGCCAGGAGCACCAGAACTGGAAGGATCCCCAAGATGATCCTAGCCCAAAGCCCTCTCTCACATACGGACCCTCTACAGTGTTCCCAACAACAGGATCAGCAGCCTACTGTGCACCATCACCTCATTTGATTCAAACCAGAACCCACACGAGGAATCCAAGACTTAGGAAGTCACTTGCACAGCCAGAATTCAACCATGGCTCTCACCCCAGAGCCAGGCTCCTCCCCACTAGTCCTCAGAGCATCCCAGGAGTGCTGGGCACTCCTCTCTCAAGTCCTACTATGTACAAAACTTTCTTCTCTGAGGTATGCAAAGATTACAAAGGTCCTGTCCCAATGAATCAAAAGCAGGGAAGCTGGACATAAATATTTAAAAAATGCTTATGAAACAAATGAGGGAATAAGGATCAGAACATATGATATCTGCTCCGAGAGTGAAAACTGACACATTTTAGGAGAGCGACCGCTCTCACCTGGGGAGCCTCAGAAGCCTCCTGGAGTTGGGTACTACAGGATGAACAGGCCACTGACGGGGGAAGGTGGAGACAGGCAAGAAGTAACTCCAGGCACAGGGAACAGCCAGGTAAAAAGCTTAGAGCAGGACAATGTGGGCATGTCGGGAACTGGTGAGTGGAGCAGGGGCCTGAGACGAGAAGTGTGTGTCGGGTGGGGGAAGGGGAGAACTCGGTGAGAAAGGAAGCTGGGGGCTTTGGCTTAGGACATCATCATGGAGGCAAGGTGGCACACCGGAAGGTGTCTGAACAGGGAGGGACAAGGTCCAACGTGTTAGGCATGTCACTGGCGTGGCACAGAGGATAGAGGACAGGAGCCAGTCTAGAGGCAGAGAGTTCTGGGCATTACTGGTTTACTGGTAAAGGGCACATAGGGCTGTGACCCAGTAAGCTTCCTGCAGACTGGAGAGCAGTTCCACCTCCACCTTCCTCTGTGGCCCCTTCTGCCCATTGGAATAGTGAACTTCGAGGACCACTGGGTAGGTCACAGGCCAGAATGAGCTGTACAGGCCAGTGTAAGATAAGTGGTCAGTCTGGCCAGCAATCAGCTCAGTTCTGGTTCCCACCTTGTTCTCTGAAGGCACTTTCTGTCTCCTTTGCGGGCCCCTCCTCCTCCTGCTGACACTGTAAATGTGGGTGTTTCTAGGGTTTATTTCTATGCCCTTTCCTCTTTCCACGCATACATGTTCCCAAATGCCATCCAGGTATGAGCCACTTGACCCCCAAATCCGTATCTGTAGCTCAAATCTATGGAGGCTCAGACTCACAGAGCCAACTGCCTGAGAGACAGCTCTACTTGGACATCCCAAAGGGTCTTGACCTTGGCAGATGAGGGTGGGGAACGGGGTGGGAGGAGGGTGCCTAAGTAGGTTGGGAGCAGGAAGGAAGCCCAGAGGAATGGCTAAGAGTGTAACTCAGAAGCCAGGCTGTCTGGGTTTGAATCCTGGCTCCCTGACTTACCAGCTATGTGATGCTGGGTAAGCCCCTTATTCTCTGTGAGTGTCCTTCCCTTCAACTAGTGCTAATTATATTAGGTTAATACAACTAGTGCTAATTATATTAGGTTAATATCACAGGCTCTAGCGCCATGCTGCTGCCTTCAAATCCTGGCTGCAACATATCCTGACTATGTGGCCTTGGGCAAGTTCCTGAACCTCTAACTTTAGTTTTTTTGTGGGGGAATGACAATGGCACTTACCACAAAGGACTTCGTGAGGGTTAAATGAGTTTGCTTGGATGGTAAATGCTATTCAAGCGCTCATATTGTTATCATTTATTATAAAAATGCATTATTTAGGTCAATCCCAGGAACCCTCTGAGTCATGTATCACTGTGTCTGTTTTGAAGATGACAAATGGGAGGCTTCAGAGAGGTGAAGCAAGTTGCCCGAGGTCACCCAGCTAGCAAATGGCAAAGCAAGGCTGCTAAGCTTTGGTCTGCCCACTACCTGAGTATACCGTAGGATGAGGTGCTGGCCGGGCTGCAGGCCGAGCTGGCTGTTCCCAGGCAGCGCAAATCGAACACGATAAGTGTCCTTAGTGAGTCTGTCCATGGCACTGATGCGGAAGGCCAGGAAGGTCTCTGGGCTCAGTTTGGAGACGCAGCTCTGCAACAGGAAGAGATTCCACAGCTGGAGGCTGGGGCTCACAGGAGCACAAGCGCCCTTCCCCTTTCCCCAAGGAGACGCTGTCTCACCCAGTAAGCTTCCTGCATACTGGAGAGCAGTTCCACCTCACCTTCCTCTTCGTGATCGAATCCAAGAATGCCAGAGCACTGTACATTGAGCTTGCCCTGCTCCTATGCCTTCCACCACTCCCCTCAGCCCCAGGCTCCTTACCTGGACACTCAACAGCCTTGTAGATGACCCCCAAGTTTCATTTTCTCTCCCATACATCAGATGCTAGACTTTTCTTCATTCTCCATCCTCCCGAGAATACCCTGCTGCCTCCTACCTCTGAATCTTCATTTGCTCAAGCTGTGCCCTCCATCCAGACATTTATCTCAATGTATGAAAAACCTCCCCATTCTTCAAATATGCTAAAATCTGGATTGGCAGAACTTAGAAACTGATGGGACCTCAAAGATTATCTAATCCAATATCCTAATATCATACATGGGGAAACTGAGCTTGAGTGGAGGCCGCTTACTGGTCTGAGGCTGCACTGTAAACAGGGATGCAAATTCATGCTTCTTCAGCTCAGCCCACTGTCCTTGACATTCCACCCCGACCCGCACTGCCTCTTCTAGGAAGTCTTCTCTGAAGGCCAGGACTCATGGATCCTTCTTTCCTGTAAAATGCCCACACCTGACTCACTCCTGGGACCACCCCGTGTCCAGCTCAGGGCCTGGCACCATGTGTCCCTGTGGCACCAACTCTGGAACCCCAATCACTCATGGCAGTACTGACAGTGTCACAGAACTGACAGAACCTCTCAGGCTTGGCATCAAGGCCTCACCTCATTGCACCCACCCCCACACCCCTCATCCAGGACGACCTCTTCATTTTCAGCCAGAGCACTTGGCACCCTCTGTCACACTCTGGAAAAAGCACTGGGCTGGGAGTCAGGAGAACAGAGTGTAACCACAGCTCAGCTGCCAACCACCTCCAGGGCCTTAGGCATATATCTGAGCCTCTGGATCTCAGCTTCCTGTTCTATAAAAAGGGGCACTCATCCCTGATAACTTCATAGAGTTACCACAAGGGTCAGATGAGACACAAAGCATTTTTTAAAAATGTCAATTGCCATGGAATGTAAAATACTTATTATTATTGCTTCATTAAAAGTTAAAATATATTATTCAATCAAAATATGGTACTTTAGGCCAGACGCGGTGGCTCACGTTTGTAATCCTAGCACTCTGGAAGGCCAAGGCGGGTGGATTGCCTGAACTCACGGGTTCAAGGCCAGCCTGAGCAAGAGTGAGACCCTGTCTCTAAAAACTAGCCAGGTGTTGTGGTGGGCACCTGTAGTCCCAGATACTTGGGAGGCTGAGGCAAGAGAATTGATTGAGCCTGAGAGTTTGAGGTGACTGTGAGCTGTGATGCTACTCTTTGTCTACCAAGGGTGACAAAGTGAGACTCCGACTCAAAAAAAAGACAGACACTACTTACAAGACTGACAAAAACTTGTAATATTATTTAATTTTCCATTCATTAATAATAGATGATGACAGGCTTGGCGCCTATGGCTCAATTGGCTAAGGTGCCAGCCACATACACCTAAGGTGATGGGTTCAAATCCAGCCCAGGCCCTCCAAACAACAATGATGACTGCAAAAAAAAACATAGCCAGGTGTTGTGGTGGGCACCTGTGGTCCCAGCTACTTGGGAGGCAGGGGCAGGAGACTCTCTTGAGCCCAGGAGTTGCAGGTTGCTGTGAGCTGTGATGTCACAGCACTCTACCTAGGGGGACAGCTTGAGGCTCTGTCTCAAAAAAATATATAATAATAATAATAATAGGTGATGACAGCTACTATTTTCGGGGCACCGACTATGTGCCAAGTGCTTTACATATTTATGCAATCCTCATAACAATCTATAAAGTATTAACATCCCACATTTCAGATGAGAAAACTGAGGTTTAGCAAACTGAAATGACATGCCCAGTATCACGTGATGAACAGTCAGAATTGGGCTTCGGTTCTTACTTTTTCTACATTACGAAAAATCATTACAACTCTATGGTTTTTTTGTCATCCTTCTAGAAGCTGAGATGTTTGAGGGCTGGTACACTGGCATCCTTATCATCAACCTCCGTGTGCTTAGCACACAGGACAGGACTCAAGGGATTTGTTCATTGAACAAATACTTACTGAGTGCCAACTGCAATGACAGGAACTGCTCAAGGTGCCCAGAATACAAAAGTGAGCAAGACGGAGCCCCTTCTCCCACAGGACTGATGTTTTGACAAGGAGACAAAGACAGTGTACATGTAACCAGGTGCATCTAGATGGCGTCTGGTGGTACTGTGAGTTAGGAAGGAAAATGAACTTTGGGCAGAGATCAGAAAGAAGTGAAGGGATGAGCCAGGTACAGATGGACGGGAACAAGAAGGAACAAGCAGAAAGGTTGTCATACATGTCCCCCAGAGTCTGGTCCCCACCGCCAGCAGCAGAACTACAAGCAGACACTTAACAGGGGTAAGTATAAAGTCATTTTTAGGGGTTCAAATAAAAACAACTGTTTGGGATGTCTGATCCCTAGCTTAGGAACAACATGTGTAAAAATGACTAAGGTCTGGTCCAGGGTTGAACTCAACAGTGTTCTGACACCTGTAACTGTAACTAGGAACCTGCCCAAACACTACAATGACAGGCTGAACTGCCTGGTCTATGAAGTCCCCTAGAAGTTCAAAAAAGGAGGAAAAAGTCAGTGAGGGATGGACAAGAAGTAACAATACTATCAGCTCCCACTCCCCCCCATTTTTTAGTGTGCTCATTTGCTCCACAGGACAAGGACTGTGTCTGTCTCGCTCACTCTTAAATCCTCAGTGTCTCATAGGGCCTGGTATATACTAGGTATTCAATAAACATTTGTTAAATGAAATGATTATCAAGCTCTGTGCTAAATATCACTAATGTTAGTCTTAGCCTATAGAAAAAGAAACTAATGCTTAGGAAAATTAAAGGACTTTGCTTAAAACCACACAGCTGCCAATAAGTTGGTTCCAGGGCTGGGCTCCGCCCCTGGATCTTTTAGCTTCCGTTACGCAGGGTTGCTTTCTGCTGTACAGTGCAGGTATGCGAGGCAGAGCCAACCCAGGTAGACTCTAACCCCGCTGACCCCTTGTCTGAGGAGCAGCCTCTCACCTGTGACTCCTGCCCACTCAGCAGGCTCCTGTCCTTGCTGGCTCGGGCTGTCTCCCACCTTGCCAGGTCTCGGTGATAGAGGTCGAACACGCAGGGTGAGCAGCCACCGCCACAGCACTGGGACGGCAGGGGCTCCACTGGCCGTAGCTGCAGCCAGGCTTCCTCGGCACCATCCTCCTCCCTCTCAGCCATCACCAGTGTGGCCTGGACAGCCTGGGAAGGACAATCAGGTGTTCTTCCCAGAAAAGGCCAGGCTTGCTGAGACCATGGGCCCAGGCACTATTCCCCTGACAGCCTGAGAGAGGGAAAATATAGGGGTTATACTCTGGTGACCTCTATCCCTCACATTCTCTCTGAGGCCTGCAGGTGCCAGGCTCTGTGCAAGCACTGGGGACAGGGATAGATCAGACATGGAATCTACTGCCTTGTGGGGAAGACTTACTATCTTACTCTCACTGGTTTTAGAAGGGCAGTCCCTCTGTGAGATAAATCTTTCTTTAATAGAGGAAAGGGTTTGGCTTTAGAAACCCTGATTCTACTGCTCATGAGCTCCTGTCTTCAGAAAGGGTCAGCAGGCTGGGAACCCCTTGAGGACAAGGATGATGTCTTATTATTTCTGTATTCTGCCACCAAGCACATCCCGGCATATGAAAGCTCCTGGTGGTCTGGGAGCCAGCACAGTGCTAGGTGCTAGGATGCACTGGGAGTAAACACATCACAGTCCTGAGGTTCACAGAGCCTCTGTAGCCTAGCACGGCATGGTATCATTCAATTTTGGTTGCTTGCTATGTACCAGGTATGTATGAGTGAATGAGGTCTGGTCCCCTGTTTATGCTAATTTCTTATCCCTGAGATTTTGCAGGCTAAAGTGAGGTAAGTGAAAGCTGTGTTAACTGAAAACTGCTATACAGTATGAGTCCTATCAATCTTTGCATTTTAATAATCCCACTTTCTCTGCCATTTTGAAAATTGTCAGAGAGGCTATGTCAGCGACGAATTTTTAAAGAGCTACTTCATGCCTCCTCTCAGCCACCATGTTTTCAGTGCAAGAGGCACCATCTTTAATCCAGACCTTAACACGTGTTGGTGCCTCACCTGGATGACTCTCCCTACCCTTTGAGCCTTGATTTAAAGATCATCTCTCTCGGCCAGGCCTGGTGGCTCACACCTGCAATCCCAGCACTCTGGGAGACCAAGGAGGGAGAACTGCTTGAAATGACAAGTTCCAGAACAGCCCGAGCAAATTGAGATCCCCCCACTGTACTAAAAATAGAAATTAGCTGGGCATGGTGGCAGGCCCCAGTAGTGCAGGCTCTTCAGGAGGCTGAGGCAGGAGGATTGTTTGAACTTATGAGTTTAAGGTTGCTGTGCACTAGGCTGAGGCCATGGCTCTCTAGACTAGGCAACGGAACAAGACTCTGCCTCAAAAATAAATAAAGATCACCTCTCCTAGAGGTCTAGAAGCCCACCCTGAACCTTCTAATTATCAAGCACTCTATTTGTTTCTGTTATATTTTCCTTCATTAAACATACATTTACTATATGGCAGGCACTGTTCTCAGTTCAAGGGCTATAGCAGTAAAGAAATAGAAACCCCCTGCCCTCATGCAGCCATCTTAGGGGGAGAAACAGTCACTAAGATCAGGATAGAAAACACATGGTATAACAGTGTTGAATTCTAAAGAGAAAAATAGGGTCGGGTGTGGTGGGTCACCCCAGTAATCCAAGCACTTTGGGAGGCTTAGGTGGGAGACCCTGGCTCTACTAAAAATAAACAAATTAGCCGGGCTTTGAGGCCCTGCCTGTAGGCCCAGCTACTCTGGAGGCTGAGGCAGGAGGATCACTTGAGCCCAAGAGTTTGAGGTTGCTGTGAGTTATGATGACACCAAGGCACTCTAGCCTGAGGGCTTAAGTGAGCTATGATGGTGCTACTGCACTCCAGCCTGGGCGACAGAGTGAGATCCATGTGTAGATTTATTTAGAAATAAATAAACTCTATTTAGCCTGTTGCCCAGGCTAAAGACTGCCGTGGCGTGAGCTGAGTTCATAGCAACCTCAAACTCCTGAGTTGAAGGGATTTTCTTGCCTCAGCTTCCCGAGCGGCTGGGACTACAGGCGCCCGCCACCACGCCCGGCCAATGTTTCTATGTTTAGTAGAGACGGGGTCTCGCTCCTGCTCAGGCTAACCTGGAACTCCTGAGCTCAAGGGAGGTCTCCCAGAGCGCTAGGATTATAGGCGTGAGCCACAGAGTCCTGCTTTGAGACCCTCCCTTAAAATATTTTTTTAAAAAGGAAATTCTGAGGGTAAGGGCTCAGAAACTAACTCGCTTTCCGCACGCGGGGAACAGGCGCGCAGCATGAGCAGCGGAGTGCAGAGCTGACCTGGAGGCTCACGACGGTGCAGCAATAGAAGCGCCCAGAGTAGTGAGAAGACCGCGAGGAGCAAAGCAAGCTTTTACCACGCACCCACTGCGTGCCGTGCGGTGTACAGGTGCGCCAGCTTAGGCATTCCCATCCCTATTTTTTTTTCAGCAGGGACACTGGGGCTCAGGGGGCAAAGCGTCCTGCCCAAGCTCCAACCGCCCCTAAGAGGTCAAGCAACCAACTCCAGGTCGGAAGCACCAGCTAGCGCTCCGGGGCCCGACCCGCCAGTGGGACGGAGCCACTCACCTACCCTGCTGCGTTTCCCTTCATTTGAGGGTCCTCCAGGCTCCGCCCCTCTCCCGGGGAGGCGGGGCGCACTCAGCGGGTCTCACTTATAAGAAAATGAGAACAGCCTGCAAGGCGGGTTGGCAAAGGGGGTTCCTGACTGTGATTGGTTGAGGTGTCTGCCATTTACAAAAACCAGCTTGACGCCCCGCCCTTTTCCTTCCCAGCAGGCCCTGCGCGGGGGATTATGGCCGCGATCAGGTGGAGGTCTTGAGGGAACGAGATCGGTATGGCGTTGGTGTCGGGGCCCGCTAGCCGGACGCTGGTTGGCTCCGGGCTGCTCGGCCTTGGAGGCGGCGGAGCCCCGAGACGCGGGGCGTACGAGTGGGGCGTGCGCTCCACGCGGAAGCCCGAGCCTCCTCCCCTGGACAGGGTGTACGAGATCCCGGGGCTGGAGCCCATCACCTACGCGGGGAAGATGCACTTCATGCCCGGGCTGGCACGGCCGATCTTCCCGCCCTGGGACCGCGGCTGGAAACACCCAAAGTACCAACGCCCGCTCCCGATTCACGAGCATCCGCGGTATAAAGAGCAGACCTGCCACGTTTTCCATCAGGGTTGCCGCCTTGTCGAGGGTGAGGCTCCAGGTGGGAGGGGACCTTGTTCCTCTGCCCAGCACTGACTCAGACCCTCTGTGGCTTTGGGCAAGACATTGAAACTCTGTGGGCCTCAGTTTCTTTGTATGCGATATGGGGGCATAGTGATTCCCATCTTCTGAGATTTGTCAGGATTAAATGTAATGTAAAAAGCTGTGCTTATGTGAGGGAGTAGTAGAGAGTTGAGTGTCACCTTGAAAAGACCTGGTTTCCACACCTAACCCTGGCTCTGGTTTCCACACCTAACCCCATTAAATAACTCTGTGTGCTTTGGGGCAGGTGCCTGGCCCCCGTGAACCCTCATTTCTTGTGTAAAGAACAATTTTGACTAGACATCCACATTGACCTTTCCAGCTCTGAAATCCTGGAGTTTAACTGTACATTTAAGAAGTAGATGGAGGGCTCAGCGCCTGTGGCTAAGGCGCAGCCACAAACACCTAAGGTGGCGGGTTCGAATCCAGCCCAGGCCCACCAAACAACAATGACGGCTGCAACCAAAAAATGGTCGGGCGTTGTAGTGGACGCCTGTGGTCCCAGCTACTTGGGAGGCTGAGGCAGGAGACTCACTTGAGCCCAGGAGTTGGAGGTTGCTGTGAGCTGTGATGCCACAGCACTCTACCCAGGGGGACAGCTTGAGCCTCTGTCTCAAAAAATAAAAATAAAAAGAAGTAGTTGGAGGGAAATTATAGTGGAAAGAGGAAGTAGAAAGAACGCTTAATCTCCAGGCCATTTCGTTTCACAGAATTGGTAATTATAACAGAGAAGGGAAGTGATTTGCCCCCATGCACCCTGTGTATTAATAGAGATGCCAGGACTACAACTCTGGTCTCCTAAGTCAGCATCCTTCATCAGAGGTCAGAAAGAATCTGTACCACTTCTCCTCTGTCAGTCTCACAACGAACAGATCAGTTCCCAAAACCAGTCTAGAGAACTACCTGAATTATTTTCCAGAGTGCTTTGAGGACGCTTGTTTATTGAGAGTCCCTTACCTCATTTTTCTGTATTCCTTCCCCACCCAGATCAGGATGGGAATAGGGCAGGTCCTGAAAACAAAATGGTCAAGGGAACAGTATTTTCTCTGGTATAATTAAGAAAGAGACCTGGCAGTATTTGGGGACTAAGCCAGAGAATAAATCCTAGGTTTGAAAAAACTTAAAGACAATTGGCTTTTCTCTTAAAGTGCTTAATCCCATTCCTAAAAGCTGATTTTCTAGCTTATAAATACTTCCTAGTGTCCTCACAGGTGCTGTGAAAGATCTCACAAGACTTGGCACCCTTGAGTGACACTGGTAACAGAATGCCAAGTGGATGAACACATTAGTGGTGTTTTAGAAGTTAAGATTACTCTTGTTTGACGAGGCTGAAACATATATTCTATGCATTTGCCACTCACAGAGAAGTTCTTAATAAAACTAAAGAACAGTGGTTCTCAACCTTCCTAATGCTGCAGTGTACTTTCATTGTTAAAAAGAGGTCACGACCCACAGGTTGAGAACCACTGCTCTAGAAGATATAGGGCTAGAGAAGCTGATTGGGGTAATGGAGAAATTGTGGTCTTTAAAGTAGACAGATTAAGGTTCCCCTTCAGCCCCATTACCTACAAAGTATGTGACTTGAAGCAAATTTCGTCATCTCTCTGACTTTCATCCTTCATTCCATAAAATACCATCTAACTTGTAGGTAAAGCTCCTGGCACAGAATAGATGGTGACATTCAGTAAGTGGCAGCTGTCATTATTATATATTATTCATATGCTAGTGAACCATAACATCTTAATATTTTATCCATTTCAAGTTTAAGGAATAGTGGCAGTGTCAGGACTAAAATTCAGTTTATCTGACTCCCAGTCCAAGGTTCTTTGTGTTGTGCCATAGAATCAAGAAGTTACTTTTCT